TTCGTCTGCCATATGCCCATTTCCCTTGACATCATTGTTCATGGTTTAGCGACTGCTTGATAAACAATGTATAGTTTTTTATCGTATAAAGTACTCGCTTATTATGAGTAAATTATATTGGTAAATGGAATCTTTGTAAGATCTAAATGTCCGTCAGACAGGGTGCACCTGACATAGAATTTATTTCTTGCATCAGTGATCAGGTTAAAGTTTACGTGGTCAAGTGTGTATGGTTCCTTGGTCAGTGTTAATTTTTCAATATTATCTCTGTTTCTCAGATACTATCAATAAAAAGTCAACTATATTTGATGTATGGAATGATTGCATGGTGGATATGTTGTCTGGCAGGGTTCATCTGACCTTGACTTCATTTTTTATGGTTCACTGGGCAATGTTCAGCTTTTTTTAATTAGGACCGTGTCTCGGATGCTATAAGCAATAGTCTAACTACATTTGGAGTATGGTATGATAGAAAGGTGTACATGTATGTCTGGTAGAGTTTATTTGACTTTGACATCAATTAAATGTATTATTAAAAATGTTAAGTTTATGTAATACCTTAGTAAATCATCTATATTACAGACTCAATATAAGTCCGATCATGATGAGTACAGCAGCTGAGCTATCTCAGCGTGTGTGTCCTATTGTTAATCTAGGTCGTTCCCTGCAGATCAATTGTCATAAACACCATTTTGGAAACGTGCATTTTAGCAATTTGACGAAACACAATAAAAGGTACATCCTGGTTATTAGCATGTCAAAACATTCACGTGCAAAGGATTGAAGTTTCAAAAAATCAGAATGTACCGTTCTCCTACTCGAAATTACACAAAATCGTGTTTCTATCTATGAAACCCAAAAGATAAAATTAATGCAGAGTACATTTTATATTTGTGTTTTGTTTTCGTATTAAAAGTTGAAACATAAAAGCAAAATAATTTTTAAAACAACAATGTGTGTACGTTTTTGATAATTTCATGGAACCAACTAGTAATCATTATTTTTTTAGAATGGCATCAGCAGTACCAGCATTATCAAGAGAGGAAACCAATTTTCTTAGAGTCGCCAACTTATTAATAAGACTTTCACCTAAGGCTGTTAGAAATCTTTTCGATAGAGAGCTTGATCCCGGTGCATTGAAATCAGTTTTCTCGAAGAACTGGACGAAACTGGATAGGCTGAAAAAGAAATATGTCATAACACAGACGCAATGGAGTGTATTGTTTCCTCCAGGTGACTATGGTTACTTTAATTGTTCATCCGTTCATATTCACATTACACATTTGGTATTAACCAAATATTCCAGAAGAAACAATTGCTTTCCTGTTGGTGTTATCACAATTTTTTTGAATTGATTAGTTTTTTTTTCATTTCAACATGTTCAATGAGAGGATATGATTTGACAAATTGTGAAATACCAAGGAAACAATCAAATATTTACCTTCACAACATGTATGCAAGTTTCGGCAACAAAGTTTATCGACATGTTGCGCCTCTTTAATAACAGACATGTTACTGTACAATTATGAATCACAGTTTATGGTTAAACTCAGTAGAAACCCGTCTAAATCCTTTTTAATTGATAAATTTAACTACACTTACATTTCTATGTATGTATGTTGCCGTTTTGTTTTTGTTGCACTTCAGTGTTCCTGTTGTTCCTTTGTTTTCCTCTTATAGTTGATGCGTTCCCCACGGTTTTAGTTTGTAACACGGATTTGTTTTCCCTCATTCGATTTATGACTTTTGAACACCGGTATACTATTGTTGCCTTTATTTACCGTTATGTTGATAATATTTGGTTCGTTAAAAATTGAAAACAACACGTTATAAAGTTCATGCGTCCGAAGCACTTTTCTGGATTAACCTTCACCAGGAACGCTCAAAACCGAATATTTGAAAGCCGAGGATAAATAATCAAGAATTCTCTAAATATATTGCCGAAATATACCAAAAGATACTTACTTTAAAAAAAATCAAATATCAATAGCAATAACTGTCCTTTCCTAGATTTAGATATTTTTGTTCTGCACGAGAAACTCTACCCAAGAATTTACGACAAAAAAGACGAATTTTCTTTCCCTATTGTTATTTTTTTCTTTTTTGGTTGGTGAAGTTCCTTCGACACCGTCTTCCGGTGTTTATAAATTCGTACTCGTTCGCTATGCCCGTGTCTGTAGTGACGTTTTTTATTTCAATCAGCGTAATCTATGTATTACTGATAAATTGTTCAGGCAGGGATTTTGTTACCACAAGTTACTTACTTAAATCTTCACTAGATACAAAGATTTGAGTTGGAAATCTGACGTGCATTGTACCTGTTGCAAACTTATTGAAAACGGAATATAATGTAGCACATCCATATTTTTACGATGATGTTGTTTACTGGGCCCGGATATGCAGATACGATCCGGGTAGACTTATCAGTCCTTCTTGATTAGTGAATTAAAAACATACTAAATATTTTTGTTATACACATAAACACATTCACAGTTCTACACAATCTGTCGATACCTATATTTTGGAATTACACAATGTTATGTTTTTCTCTGACTGTTAATGACGTCTTTACACAAAATCCGTAGGATGTTGGATGTGTACTGATTGATATTACAGTCTTAGATAAATGATATTTTTATTAGTTGTTACAGTCTTTGAAATGGCTGTCAGTATACTAAGATTTGTTCTTTAAATCTTTCTTGTTGTGTGGGATGTATAAATACATAATCATGTCCAGTCTGTATTTTTGTTAGATGTTTTTCTGCTTTGTATCGATCGGATGAGTTTAGCCCTTTTCAGCTGATTTTCATATGTTGTTCTTATGTTGTACTACTTCACAACTGTCCAAGGTTTTTTTTTGTTTTGTTTTGTTTTTTTTTTTTGTTGGTGTTTTTTCGGGAGGGGGGCATTGGAGCTTTGGCGCCTTCAAACTTGGTCCAACCCTGCCACATAATGTATGTGTCTGTCCCAAGTCAGGAGCTTGTAGTTCAGTGGTTTTCATTGGTTCATGTTTGTCTATTTGTTTGTCATAAATTGTTTTGTCATAAATTAGGCCGTTACTTTCCTTAATTAAATTGTTTCATACTTTTCATGTTGGGGCCTTATAAACTTATAGCCGACTATATGGTATTTGTTTTTCAACATTGGTGAAGACTGCACGGTAGCCTATAATTGCTTTCATCCACTTCATTTGAACTTTGATGGATAGTTGTCTCATTGGCAATCATACCACATTTCATTATTTTTATAACGAATAAAAGATTGAGTGAAAGACAATAAGAAGAAAATAGAAAATATAGTCCTCAATTCGATAGAGAAACCTTAAGAATTAAGAATAAATACACCCTAAAACAGAACTTATTGCTCGATCAGTCATGTTCGTTAAGACAAGTCATACGTAGTAATTAATTAAGTAGTAAGCAATTAGAATCTTCCCGTTTAAAGAAAAAATTAAAAAAAATCAATGCAGAACTGTGCTTATGAAAAATGAAACCCTTTGACATATGTGACATAAATATTTATAAAATCTAATGATCTACAAAAAAATAATGTCTACCATGAAACTGTCAAAGAGAGCATTACAACTTTATAAAACTTGAACATTAAATTGATCAGTATAATCCATTTAAGACGCAGCTGTCTTTTGAGGACACCATGATCAGAAAATTTACACAAGTTTGAATAATCGCATCACTGGGGAAATTATGGTCCATAGATTCTTCTAGAATGTTATTTACTTTGAAAAGTCATATCATTGTATCAAAGAGTTTAGATATATGCAGATTCAAACTTTAGTAAGTGTAAGATTGGGAAACAGTTGGTCCTTCTTGAATCGATTGTATCCTTCATATCATCTTAAAAAAAGGTATATCCGACCAAGAAACATATTGAATATGTCCTCTTAATATATAACATGTCTAACGAGTGACACTTCTTAAGCTTGTATAAATTGACAATGAGTTGCTTTTAAAACACAGTTTTGATGATCGTTACATTGGGAAGAAATCACCTGTATGAAAATTTCGACATCAAATTGCTCAGTTCGTGTATCACTAATGAAGATGCTGACAACCAAACTAATATAACAGATAGCGAAGACTCCTTTAAACTAAATAAAAGTCTATGATGTAGAATTATTTATTCGAAATTAGATAAAGCAGGGTATTGGAACACCCTGAACAATATTTATTTACTTGATGTTTGTCAAAATGTTTGCAATTTGTTTTTCTTTTTTCATCTACTATTTTTCTCAATAGAAAACATGCAGAGGGAAAATGAAGAATCTGACTCACCTTCCATATTGGGCATAATTTTAAATGACCAATGAACAAAAGCATAAGAGTTTGACAAAAAATCCATCTTCTGAAAATAGATCTATAACATTTATCAGACCACATCAACTAATAAATGAATTGGGTTATATCTTTGTTAATCTCGATTTCTGTAACCGTTTCTAAAAAGAAGCAATTATATGGGTTTTCTTAATAGGCAGTTGAAAATAATTCTCTTATAAGACATTTGTGATGTTCTAGCATTCGAAATTAAATTAATTTAATTGATGTAGTTAATCGAATATCTTTTTTCAAAAAATGCAGTCATAAATTTTATTCGAAGAATTTTCAAACAGTGGAAGAAGGAGCAATAAATCAATAAGGGAGTAAATATAAAAAAGGCAATAAAACACCGAGTCGTACAACTACAACCTCATGACAAAAAGTCAAACCTCAGCCCCAAAAATCAACAACAAAATACGCAAAGTATTCAAACTCAGTTGAATCGGAAAGGTAAGAAGTTCCTCCTCTATAAGCTCCTTCGTGTCCCTCGGGTCATTTAAACAATGTAAGCCGAAAAAATATAGGATGCAAATGCCGTAATGCATAAGTTTTTATACAAGAAATATTAACATAAAATATCTCAGGTAAGCGTAAGTGAAAACAAAACTCACAATACATGTGAGCAAAAGTAAATATTTATTATTCATTTGCAGGTTCCGATCCTAAATCGAATGACTTCGACTTGACATTAATGGTCTGTCTTCTCCGAAACCTGACGAACATAATTATTCATGACCAGCTACCACAACCATTTGACACTAGTGAAGGAGCGGCTGTGTCTAGAATTAAGTTCTTTAGGAATCAAATTGCTCATTCCGACTCAGGTACTATGTTGGACACAGATTTCATTACAATATTTGCTGATGTTTCTAAGGTGAGTAACCATACAAAAGAAAAAAAATGAATGAAACAAAAAAAAAGATTCTCGAATACGGTTGATAACAAATCTTGATATAATATATTATAATATCTTCACCAATATATAGATCTTCCTTAAATCAGTCAAGCGATCCGTAATGTCTTTGCTACTTTATCAGGATACCATTTTAATGTTTCTGAATTACGAATCATTAGAACGATAAACAAAACGTACCATACAGTAAATAACATGAACTTTATTATTAAACTGGAATTTAATGCGACTGTCATACAAGAGATAGGTTTAGCTAGCTATTAAACCAAGTTTAATCCACCATTTTCTTCATAGGCTAATGCCTGTACCAAGTTGGGAATATGATAGTTGTTTTCCATTTGTTTGATGTGTTTGAGCTTTTGATTTTGCCATTTGATAAGGTACTTTCCGTTTTGAATTTTCCTTGGAGTTCGATATTTTTGTTATTTTACTTTTTATAAGTATTTTTAAAACATTTTCCTAGTAAGACGTACCTTAATGGATATACTTTAGACATGTTAGAAATATCACATGTAAACAATGTTTAGTGTATTTTGTGTATTTTGAATGCCTTTTCAATGTAAAAAAATACTCATAACAAAGCATACGAGAAAAAGTACGACTGTAATATGTTGTTTGTACGCAGACCTATAGTTTGGAGAGACACATAAATTAGCATCAAAACCGAAAGAGTAAAACTAGAAAACAGAAAGTAATCGGTCTTTGGTCCCACTAAACTAAATTTTGATAGAGACGTAATTTATAATCAAAATATTTACAGTAAAACTGCAGCATCGAAACAGTAACAATGTTACCGTTGGAAACTGACAGATCCACCAGGAGAGAAACTTATCCAGTAGAAAATATAAAACAAAGACTATATAACTATTTTCATTGTTTACAACAAGTGTATCCATACTTTGTTTTATAGAAGTTTATTCAGATGAGGAAGGCGTCATATAGGAGAGTCTATGGGAAAATAAAAAGAACATAGCGTTATCCTTTAATTTGAGTTCGGTTTTTAGATTCTGTACTTTCAGTAAATAATTTGGTGTTTGGTGACAATGTTGATCGATCTTGAAATAAAGGATATCACTACAATATATATTGGCTTCAGAAATTGACAATTAGGGTCGGTACTTTACGACAGAAGAGATAATTACAGTTACTCAACTTTGTAATTTCCATTTCTATGTAGATATAATCTAACAGCGCCTGCATCTGGATTATATAAATCTCCCAGTTCATACTATATTTCAGATCTTGCGTTTCATATAATGATTTCCTTGATTGAGGGTTGCTGCTTACAGGAGAGCTATTTAACTAATGGTTTCAAGTCGTTAATTTGATGTCATCTTTTTGAAAATTCATGGGACGACATCACTATTTGATTGAACATTAAAAGCCCTTTTAATTATCTTTTGCTCCGCACATATGACATTACTAAAATGAGACATATCACCGAATATGCACTTACAATGGCAACACGACGGGTGCTATACATAGAGCAAGATCTGCTTACCCTTTCGGAGCATTTATACTCTTTAGGTCTCCTATAAAACTGTTTATTTCTTTCAGGCTATAGAAATTCTCTGTCCGATCATGAAATTTGAATGCAACAAATTGCAAAACGCTGACCTAGATTATTCATTCCATGAAATATATGTAGAATTTGTCAAAAAAGAAAAGCAAATAGAAGAACTTACTGCTCAAGTTGAAACGCTGAACTTGGAAAGACAGAATATACAATGTAAGTTTTCAAAGATGACTATTTACATGAAATAAAGGAACTATGTGGTATTTGTAACTATGTTTCTGTTTGTTTTATCCAGATCTATCGTTATATATGCATAATAATAAACAATATACACGTAAAAAGTCCAAATGTTGCTAATTTATATAGTGTTATATTGTGTCGGTTAGTTACAGTATTTTGCAACTTTTTTGCAGCTTTACAACTTGTCTGTATAGCTTTTGTAGATTACCTCCTTGCCCATCTGAATTCAACAAAAAAAGTTGTTTGTGTACAGAGTGAAGTCGATTATAATAACTTCTGATTATATGTAAGATTAAAGCACCGAATAATCCGCGTTGAAGACTTTCAAATGATTGCCAAGACGTAGAAAAGCGATATTCATTTGAAATGTATTACAGTTTGTGATATTGCTGATGTCTTGACACGAGTCATGTTCATCAATTCCATGTCTTTTATTATTTTAATCAAAATATATTTTTCTCGTTATATATGGAATATATCGTTACTTTCATTAATTCTAACATATTTTTTTCTGAAACTCTGCGTTGATAAATTTAAAAATCATTAAAAGACTAAGACCCCCGAATCCCTAAAGCAAAATTGAATTTAGATGAATTTAGTCATACTTTGAGTGTCCCTTTGTCCATAACGCTCACCTTCCTTCCGTTATTTATATATAGTCTAGTCAAAATAGATGAAAAATGTGGCCAACCTCAAAAAGATTGCAACAGAATTATTTTGGGTGTTTTTCAATTCTAACAGGCTTTCTTTGTAACATACTAAAAGTCTACCAAGATATCTGAGTGGAAACATGGATTTTTTTGTGAAAAATGGCATAATTTGTCAAAAATAGTGAAAAACTGGGAAAAGCTTGTAAAACATTTATTCTGTAAGATAATCATTGCAAACCAAAAGTTTTACAACAGTATGTACAGTGTATATGAAATGATTTAAAAAGAAAATGGTTTTTTTTTTTAAAAACATGAAATTTTAGGTGAAAACATCAGATTTTTGTTGGAATTTGAGATTCACAAAGCACGAACTGATTATAAAAACAGACAGGAAAAATATAAAAATGGTAATAGAAGTTCATTTTATATCTTAAAAAAAAAAAACCTTTACTATCATCATTTCAAAACTTTACAGCAATTCTTAATTTGATAAATGATGATTTTGGGTAAAATATAGCAAAATCATTCAAAAATCGGTAAAAACTGGAAAAACACACTTTTCGAGTTTTAACTGGTTTTAAATCATTCCAAAATAGAAAAATGCAAATATTAATATAATGATAATCAGATCAAACAAAATTCATTATAAAACAATTACGAAAATAACTGATTTTGAGTGAAAAAAAGCAAAATTTGCCAAAAATCATCGAAAACTGGAAAAAACTGATAAAATTCAGAATTTTTCAGAAATCAATTATGAATTTAGTGAAAATCAATTTATATTCTTAATTTGAAAAAGTACAATGCTTTAATTCATACCATATTAACCAAGAAGAGATTTTAAGCGAAAATCAAAGATTTGTTGACCATAATGAGAGGTAAAAAGTATAATTCACAAAAAGGGATGTTAATTAAAACGTAAATGGCAAATTACAAGGCAACATTTTTTTTAGATTCTTCCATAGTTTTCTGTATACAACAAATATCTATGCATCAGTGAAGTCAGATTCAGCAATGGGAACAGAATTAGAACGATTCAAACCACGACATTCACCGCATCCTACCGAACACTGAAGACCATTTTTTCTACAGACACATCGTTTGGTGTCGCAATTTTGTTTACAGTAACATCTAATAATGATAAGAAGTTTATCAGGTGCAGGAGGAAGTTCCATCAAAATTGGACAAAGTTTTCCACGTTTGATTTCCCAACCATAGTCTGTAGTATCCATGTCAACTTCTTCTGACATCCATTTTTGGCTCGTATGATACACTCTAAGACTATGAAATTGCCCTGAATCGGATGTTGGTGGTAAACTTTTCACATGACTGATGTGTTTCCAGTTATTACTCTTGATGTGAATTTTCTCCAGCGAAGAATGTTAAGTCCTTCAAGAGGAAGTCCTCCATATAAACACGTGAGCGCTTCTTCTCCTGCTTTGATAATATCTGCTTTAATTGAATTGTTATTCATGAAAACTTTACCTTGCATTTTCAGATATTCTTGATTAAGTTTTTTTAATGCAAGTCCTTTGCCTATTCCAAAAAGCCTAGAAGTTGAGTCACAACCTGTTAAAGAATGCAAAAAAGGCAATAAATTCCAAACATCCTTTCCAAGAAATTCTTTAGTCTGTTGTATGTTCCATATTTTCATTTTTTTGTTGATTGCCATTTTATCAGATTTGAAAATAACCCTTTTGCACTGCTGATTAACATGATGAATAAGTAACACCAATAGATCCGTATCTTCACCAAGTATTACCACTTCTGAAGACAAAGCACAATCCACTGCAGTTAGCGCAATAAAAAGATCTGCATCATCAGTTGCATTTTTACATCTAATGTCATTATCCTTAAGCTTGTCACAAAGCATGTTAATAAGAACTTGTTTGTTATGACTGTTTGACATGAACAGTTCCTTTTTAGTTTTGCAAGGCATAGAAGAGGTGAAATTGATGTTCGGCAAAATGATGCCTTTTGTTCTACGCAAATGTGTTATATCTTTAATTGACGGAAGTTCTGGATAACTGTCAAAAACAATTACAGGGTCTTTGTACTTTCTGATTACATGATCAACATACATTTGTGTAATGTCTCCAAATGAATTACCATGTGTCCAAGGAAGTCGTTGCAATAGTGATCCACCATCAAGGACATACTGAAAACCCTCACCATCTATTTCATGTATGCAATCACTTCCACATGCCCATATTGCATCAGCTAAGTTTGACTTGCATGCCTCTCGAGGTAGTCGGTTGCAATCAAACATAGAAGAAGGAACGCTAGACAATTCATACTGGAATACCTCAGATGTGTTTTCAAAGACACCATTTGCTGCTGTGGTCAGGCGTTGGAACATCAATTGAGGATCTATATCAGTATTTAGAAAGTCTGAAATTCGAAAAATTGTGATGTAACTGAACTCCTAGTGCTAGTTGTAGAGGTAACATAAACATTCTTGGTGCTGCGGCTTGGACTATGGATTGACCTATTGACATGATTTTTAAACGTGTATCCTTTACACTGAATATAGTTTGAAGAAGAATCTGTAAGGATTCTGGCACATACTTCATGTTATTTTGTGCAGATAGTTCATCAGGTGAAGGATATAGTGCCTTGGTGGATGTTTCTGAAGAAAGGATTTCAGATTTAAGTATCTTAGCAGCTGCCTGGATAATGGACTTTTTTTCTTCATAAATACTACGATTTGTGTTTGTTTGTTTATAGAACTCATGCAAAATTGACCGAGCTGTGTTTCGAAATGTAACAACATTTTGCTTTCCGTTTATTTCAGAAATGATTATTTTATCTCCAAAATGTTCTTGTAATTTATTTTTCATATGTTGTACACAATACGCATCATCAATTCCACAGTGTTCTGACATTTTTTTCACAAGATCTGTAACCGTTATTTGTTCATCTTCATTCTGCTGAAGGTATTTTGCAGCAAACAAAAAACTCTCTGATAAAGAAGATTTTTTTCCTGCTTGCGTTTTTGCCTTTTTTGCTGGTGGAGAAAATGCTAATGGAGTCAACGTCCGGAAATTTACTCTGCATGTCTGGTGGTACAAAGCATCTGCAGCGTGGAGATCCTGAACAAATTCCAATCTTCCCCGAACCTCAAGTGCCCATTCATCTTCACGTTGTTTACATATATCTTCAGTCTTGCATTGAAACTCTGATGTGCGTACAGGATACACGTCACTTTTTCTCTTCTTCCCTATGACTGCATTTGCAAGCTGTCCACAGAACAAACAATGTTTCTTAAAGTCTAATTCAACTTTCGACCGCAGTATTGGTACATTAGTGGTTTCATGTTTAATTTCTTTATTGGCTAAAGCAATGTATTTTGGATTTGTATATGATTTTCTACAATTTTGATGTAACTTCTGTCCTGCACTGGTAACTACATTGTATTGACGGCTTTTACTTGCTTTATTGACACTCTGGCTGCCCTTTTCACCTAGTACTACTACAGTGTCCTCGTGTGAAAATGAGTTTTGACAAATCACACACTTCTCCTCTTTTAAGCAAGTTTCCTGAAATGAAAATAAATTTATGATTATTACAGGAATATTAACATATTAATTTTATTAATTGCATACAAATTTTTCAGGGTATTTATGTTTGATTGCTAAATAACTGTTTTTAAATATTTTACCGAAATATATCTGTAATATTTTGTTAACATATCTATACTGGTGTCCATAAGATTGAAACTTCGTGTATTTTAAATTAAATAAAAAATGCAGCAATTGTGGTAAAAAGGGTGTTCCATAGACACAAGGCCTCCTTTCTTTGATGAAAAGTTTCTTTACATCTCATCCTTTCGAATGCAATATAGTGTACCACTTGTTATCCCTTGAAATATGCATGTTGTAATAAATAACGTTCAATGTTGATATTTCTCTTGTTAAACAGGCGTTATAGAAAATTATCTGACGTAGTTTTTCCTTATTTTTATAATTAGTTTTTATAATTTTTAATGGTGTGTAACAGTCTGAGAATGTTTATTTTTTCAAGTGTAATGTAAATCTAATGTATATAAGATCTTGGAACAATGAAATAAGAATTTATGCTCGTATTTTCCACCCATAGCAGACGACAAAATAAAACTTTTTCACTAGAGATCTTTTAGTTAATATATCTTCAGAGGATAGACAAATTATATATATATTTTAGTTCTTATTCATAGATACTTACCAAATTCATAATTATTACATCATCTGTTTGTTTTTATATTTGAATGCATAGCGGGAATGAACTTATATTGGCTCCCTTTAATAAATCGTCTGTGTACGGCATCCCATCTGTAACGTAAAATCCGCGAAAAAATGCGCGATCCTATGTCATAAAAATGACAACTTTCCCATGGGTTGATTTTGGTAGACTTTTGGTATGTTTAATTTATGGCATGTCCCTAAAGGATGCCGAAAAAAAATATTCTGTTGCAATTTTTTTGAGGTCAAATGCTATTTTGACTAGACTAATATCCTTGACTTAAGGTAGTTTTGGGTTTGAGGGTTCCTGAGGAGAGTAAAACCAGAAAAGCACTTTTGACGTCTCGAAAATATTTAAACAAAAAGGATTTTCATTTCACATGTTCTTAATTTAAACTAACTCTTTCATTTTGTTCGATAATTTCCCTGTCTGACCTCAATAGCAAATTTGATTTATATTTCACCTATCGTTTCCTTGACATGTATGTGTTATTGGACATTTTCAAGGATTGTACAACAAATCATTGGTCAAATTACCTTGAAACCTTTGTTTGGATGACAAATTATATTTCTTGATTTAAAAACAAATTGCTGTTTTTGGTAAATCACACAACCAACCAAAATCTGGCAATCAAAGAAATATACATCAACAATTATAATTTGTTCATGTATTCAACTATGTTCTTGCATTTCAAAAGTTAATTCTTTATTGAGATCAGTCATTTATTGTTACATTATTTCTATAATTACATTTTACAGTACTTACATTAATATTGCAGGTATTCAAACTGAAGAAATCGCTGAATGGAAAAAGAAATTAGAGAAGTTCTATGTGACTGAAGCTGCGACCAGAATAATTAAAGTGGTCAAAGACAATCAATGCACTATTATTACTGGTATACCTGGATCAGGCAAATCTACACTTGCTTATCATATAGCCATACACATGCAAGAAACCGAAGGCTACACAGTTCTACCTATTTGGTTACCATCAGAATTATTGAAATTGACGAATTCTAATGCTAAACAACTTTTTGTTTTGGATGATGTATTCGGTAAATATTCTTTGAATGCATGCAACCTTAACTGCTGGGAATCTGAAACAAGACGTATTAAGATGTTATTGAAAAATAAAATCCTTAAAGTAATAGTAACATGCAGATCCTATCTATATGACAATGTTAGAGACAGCTTATCTTCTCAATCATTTGAGCATTTCAACTTGCAATCAGATGAAATAAAGTTATCTTTAGTGGAAAGAATAGAAATCAGCAAGTTATATCTTAGTAAGGATGTTTTGAGTCAACTGAATGATGAAATCATAATGATGTACAATTTTTTCCCCTTACTATGTGTTATGTTTAATGAACAGAATATGGGGAATGTTGATTTCTTTCAAAATCCTAATCAGTTTCTAAAGAATGAAATTGGAAACTTTAAAAGTGAAAAAGACGTATCGTTCATAGTCCTGGCACTTTTGGTTTTATCAAATAACTCAATCGAGAAAGACGGTCTTCAGATTGGCCAAACAAAATACGATAACATGTTACAAGATTTATTTGATGAACTTGATACCAGGAAATATCCATCTAAAACGTCAATTTTGTCAAATATTCAAAATCTAAAAAATATGTATCTATCAGAAAAAAATTCTACATTTTGTACCAAACACGATAAAATATTTGACATTATTTCTCATACTGTAGCAAATTTTATCATCCGATGTATTTTAAGACACGGAGACACGGCGTTCATTAGTAGTAGGTGCCAATTGAAATCACTCGATGAACAACATGATGATTTTACCATTATGATAACAGATGAATTAGAAGCAATGTACTTCCAACGTATATTTGGAGACATCGAAAATGGCCATAACTGGGAGGTTTTTGCTAGCATTCAAATGAAATTTGAAAACTATAGAAATTTGTTAATACGATACTTAGAGAAGATGAGTCCAAAATTTTCTTCGTCAATAAATGATTTTGCAACTCCATTACATGTCACTGCGGCTAAAGGTTATTATGATATTTCAAAATATTTACTCGAAAAAAACAGAGAACATATAAATTTCCTTAATCGTTACAATAGGTCTCCTTTACACAAGGCCTATTTAAATGGACACCATGAAATTGCAGACTTACTTATTAACAGTGGTGCTGAAATTGATCAAATTGACATTTTTGGATATACCCCTCTGCTTGCATGTTGTTACAAGGGATATCTGAAAACCGCTGAAGTTCTGTTAAAAAAACATGCAAATGTAAACATATGTGGCAAAGATGGTTGGTATCCACTACATATGGCAGCGTATGATGGAGATACCGATCTTATCAAAATTTTAATTCAACATAAGGCAGATGTTAACAAGCGAATGCATAACGGAATGACATCATTGTACTTAGCTTGTCATGTTGGTCATATATTGGCAGTGAAAATCTTACTCGAGAGTAAAGCAGATGTTAACAAATGTGAAAATGAAGGATGGTCTCCTTTAAATAAAGCTTGTCTGGAAGGGTTTAACGATATAGCTGAAGTATTAATTTATTATGGCGCAGATGTGAATAAAGATAACAATGCTGGAAAAATACCACTGTATAACGCTTGTAGACGAAATCATATAAATATAGTAAAACTATTACTCAAGCATGGTTCAGCGATTTATAGAGGTAATGAGAATGAAATAATGTCAATATATTTGGCTTGTCAGGAGGGTGATGTAGACATAGTCAAAGTATTATGCGACCTCGAAGCTTCACCAAATCATTGCATTAAAGGTATATTTACTCCTCTAATTTTTTCTTGTGATCGGGATTATCAAAACAAAGTAAATAAGGTTGACGAGACTGGATATCTACAATTACTTTTAGCTTGTACCGATAGGGATAATGAAAGAGCTACGTTATTACTCGAAAATGGTGCAGAAGTTAATCGTACAAATGAACATGGTCGAACTTCACTACACACTGCCGCTGAAAACGGAAATACAGATCTAATTAAACTTTTGATGGAACATGATGCAGACGTAAACTTTCAAATGAATAATGGAATGACACCGATTTATTTAGCTTGCGAGAATAATCATATAGAAGCTGTCAAACTGCTGTTACGTAATAAAGCAGACATAAACAAATGTGAGAAAACTGGATGGAGTCCATTACATGTTGCTTCTTATGACAACCATAAAGAAGTAGTGGCATATTTATGTGATCACAGTGCTGCAGAAGTAAACCTGTCAAATGAAGAAGGCGAATCGCCATTATATCTTGCTTGTCAAGAAGGTAATGAAGACATAGTAACATTATTATTAAAACATGATGCTTCCATTAATCATTTCAATGAAAATGGATTAACCCCATTACATTTAGCTTGTTCTAATGGTATTAAAAATATTGTAGAATTAGTAATTAAAGCGGGCGTAATAGTTAATAAAGTTAACGAAACTGGCAACTCGCCATTACTTTTAGCTTGTAACGATAGGCATAATGAAATAGCTTTAGTATTACTTGAAAATGGTGCCGAAGTAAACGAAAGTGATGAAAATGGTCGGACTTCACTTCACACTGCCGCTGAAGATGGCAATAACGATCTCATAAAAATTCTGATGGACCATGATGCAAACATAAATTTTCCAATGAATAATGGAATGACACCAATTTATATAGCTTGTAGGGAAAATCATTTAGAAGCAGTAAACATGTTGTTTACTTATCAAGCTGACATAACCAAATGTGATGAAACTGGATGGCGTTCATTACACGTGGCTACTTATGGCAATCACAAGGAAATAGTGGCATATCTATGTGATCACGGTAATGCAGAGGTAAACCGTTCCAATAAAATAGGCGAATCGCCATTACATATTGCTTGTAAAAATATGAATGAGGATATAGTTAAACTACTAATAAAAAATGGAGCTTCTTTTGATTATTGTAATGCAAAGGGATACACCCCGTTTCATTTAGCTTGTTCATATGGTAATAAAAATATAGCAGAAATATTAATCAAAGAGGGTGCAGCGGTTAATGGGGTTAACGAGACTAGAAAGTCGCCATTACTTTTAGCTTGTTACCATAGGCATAATGCAATAGCTAAGTTATTACTCGAAAAAGGTGCAGACGTGAATAGTCCTGATGAACATGGTCGGACTGCACTTTACTTTGCCGCTAGATATGGAAACACAGAACTTATTTTAATGTTGATGAAATATGAGACAGATGTAAACGTCCAACTGAATAATGGAATGACATCTATTTATATAGCTTCTGAGCATGACCATTTAGAAGCAGTAAAAATGCTGTTAAGCAATAAAGCTGACATAAACAAATGTGAGGAAAATGGATGGAGTCCATTACATGTTGCTACTCATGCCAACAATAAGGAAGTAACTAAGTTATTACTCGAAAATGACGCAGAAGTAAACAGTGCTGATGAAGATGGTAGAACTTCACTATACAGTTCCGCTGAAAACGGAAATATAGATCTAATTAAAATTTTGATTGAACACGGTGCAGACGTTAACTTTCAAATGAATAATGGTAGGACACCGATTTATATAGCTTGTAGGGAAAACCATTTCGAAGTAGTATACATGTTGTTAAGTTATAAAGCTGACATATACAAATGTGATGAAATTGGATGGAGTCCATTACATGTTGCTTCTTATTTCAACCATATGGAAGTAGTCGCATATCTATGTGATCACAGTGATGCATTGGTGAACCTTTCCAATATATATGGTTCAACGCCACTGTGTCTTGCTTGTCAAGAAGGTAACGAAGATGTTATACAATTATTATTAAGACACGATGCTTCCATTAATCATTGTGATAAAGAAGGCTTCACTTCGTTCCACAAAGCGTGTTCTGAAGGAAAAAGCAATTTAGTAGAACTGTTAATTAAAGAGGATGCAGCAGTTAATCTCCCTGATATGAGTGATAGAACGCCATTATATATAGCCTGTCAAAGCAGATATAAAGATGTAGTAGAAATATTACTGAAACATGGAGTAGAGGTATGCAAGGCAGGGCAATTTGAATCTGAAGTAGGCTGGACACCTCTGCATGTTTCGGCGGCATCTGGTGATAGGGGTATCACTGAATTGTTATTGAAAAATAATGCAACCGTTAATGTCAAAGATCGGAATGAACATACTCCTTTATACTATGCTATTCAAAACAATTTCGATGACATTATTGAACTTCTTGTTACACATGGAGCTGTTTAAAACAACAATGATGATCAGATTTCCTCTTTGAGCATAAAACACAAAAGACGAAAATAAGCTAGGGCAAATTACAAACTTCAAAAACATTTAGTTTATTTATACATTTAACTTGTTTAATATATGTTAATTTGTCACATGTTGAAAATTACGGATATTATAAAATAACCTGAATTTTTAAACTAATCAACAATTTAAGATTGTTAAATCATTTTTTACTTTCATAATATATCCACAATGTATTGTATAATTGCAGCTGTTTCAATGTTTTTAGTTTTGTACTGTAAACTTATAAACTTGAATTTGACGATGGATATGCTCAAATTGTCGTACCAATTTCGTTTTTTTTATTCAAATGTGACCTACCGAATTAGACTTATCACCGGGTTTGGTTTTCATAAGCAACACGACGGGTTCCATATTAAATTGATAAGACTAACGGCCTAATTTAAAACAAAGAAATTTACGAAAATAATTCTGACAGACATTAACCAACGACAACCACTGAAGTTGTTCACTACAGGCTCCTGACTTGGGATTGATTGAGTAATTGTTGGTATTTTAACGTCGAATGGCAAATATTTCATGCACCAGAACAAACAAATTAATAATAAGTAGGTAGGTCATGTCATCTAATGGGCGCTATACAGGATGAATGTCGAGGAAATTTGGATTGCCACTGAAAAATAAGGGTATATTGGACAGGAACAGGCCACCTACAAACCCCTCATAATTGCTGCAAGAGTTTTTAACCAGAGAGCGTTGCATTCTATCTACGCAAGTCGTCAGATTTCATGTCCCCATTCTGACCGGACGTGGCTTCGTACTTGTACATCCCGGACAGCCAAATGCATACTCCAATCTGGCAAGGGTCTTACTGCTGGTCGGTAGAAGATCAAGAGTGACCATATTTTTATTCCCAAGTCACCGTGGTGGCCAATTGTTTTGAAAATTAATTTATGCGGTAACGACATTTTTTTTTCTCTTTTCAGTCTAATAAAATGAGGAAAGGATCTTCGTTTCTTCCCAAAACCTTTAACGACTATCAAAGATGGAAAATTGTACAGTAAGTCCGAATTTGGCAAAAGTACGATTACTATCAAATGAATAAAATGTTTTAACAATCTTCAGTTTTCATTTTAATCAGAAACTATGATTACTTTATATATGTTATTATTGTATGCCTTGAATCACATTTCATTGACACTTAGTATCCTCCGGGTTCATTCTTCAAAATAATGATCGTTCTGAAAGGACATAACTACACATAGATATATAATGAAAAACTATTACAAAAAAAAGTGTACGAATGTTTTCATTAAAAAAAAATGCAAAGTAGGTTATAAGCTGCTTTGAGTCTTCTTTAAACTATACGGTATTCGTTTTTCATATAGTAGTGTTGTCAAAATAACGTGTTACCCTAATCGGTTATCTTGATAATCTTTCAACATATTATCCGGCTAACCGGTAGTAAAGTTGATGTTCAAAGTTATTGTTTACAATACCTTGCTTATTCGTGCTTATATAATACGATGTTTTGAAGTTTATCGTGACATTATTCACCTTTCTCATATTTGGCTTTGAGAATCATGATGAAGATAAGCTATTCCTTAGGTTTATGGTCATATACCTCCTAACGCTGCTGCATATTTATGCATCCCTGGCTTTCATTGTTTAGGTTTGAGCATTTCTGACAGGTAAATCGAGAAAAGCACTTCGAACGCACGAAATTAAGTGTTATTTTCATATATAACTTATAGTGTTCGTCGGGCCATACATAGACCATATAACAAATCAATTAAGAATTAATTCCTCTCTGGTATGCGCTATGCTCATTTTAACAAGGGTAGGCATTATATTTGTCAATATTTTACATCGAGCGTTAGCGCAATGTTAATAAAGGAAATATTTCGACTCTAATAGGACGAAAATGGTATTGTTATAGGTCAAAGCATACGAAAATACCTTAGAAATATTCCCAGTTCCTCTCCATGAAGTATATACATTACGTTATCACATTTAATAAGTTTAAAAACTAGCAGGGAAAATATATGTTATTTCAATAACAATATAAAATAAGATTTTATGTAATCAGTTTATATTTTATAAGAGTAAAAATGAAAAAAAACAAGCGAAAATGTAAACAGTAAGTTTGTGCGCATGTGTAAAACATATGTTGTGCTAATTAGAACACGGCTTTAAAATATTAGAATTATTAGTATTTTAATGGTAGAATACTGCAAAATCATAACATGTTATTGTTACTATAAAAATTAAATAAATGCTGATTCAGTAGTTTAGTATACTCTGGAAATCAGATTTCATACTTTTATTATTTCTTTTTTTGATTTTATAGTGATATTTGAAATGTTAGAGATATTGACATACGTGTTGGATATCCATTTTTATTACTAATGCGCTAGTAAATTATCAAATACTATAATCAAATCTACATGATAATGGCAATTGCAATAAGTTCAGATTGAGATTGATACTTTTCTCATGAACTGCAAAACAAAATGTCTTAAATTTTACAGATGAACAGCAGCTTGACAGAGTTGTATCGTGTGACCACTTTTCGGATTTGTAAGACTCTTACTGTGAATTTCGAGATGTGGTATGCTTAGCACTATACAGCCGGACAGCATATCCCTGATTTGTCCGTTAAAACCCCGGATTTATTATCCGGGAATCAAGTGGAGATAATTTCTGAGAAAGCCGTCAACAGATGTCGCTGCGCAGAAAAATAAGTCCCCACGGAAGACGACCAGGTGGAAAATCGTGAATTTGTGAAATTTTAAGAAACCAAACGTATCATGAGCGTATACATGATGTCATAAGTTTTAAAATTATTTGAAAAATATAAGAAATCAAAGTAATGTATCGTTGAAAAAGAAATTCAAGTCACTAATTTTCAGTCTCCGAAACCGCCACTTTTTAACTTCGACTGTCATTGACAAATTTTCAGCTCGAGACGAATTGACACAGGCTTGGTTTACCTAGGAAAAATAAATATGACTGGTTTATTTTGATAAACTGGAACATGGAGAACAGAACTGGAATGGTCATATGACGTTACCATTCGTTGTTTACACACGAGCACAATTTTAGTACATATCACAATTTGGTAAGGCTACGCAGGGACTTTTTTTTCATAAAACTTCTCTGCTCCTGACTAACACAGCTCAGAAATATGACAAATTTATCACAGAGGAAAAGACATTCAACATGTCATTGAAATGAATAAAATCTGATATTTTTTGGTGATTTATTTTCCCTTTTCATGCCTCAATGATGTCTTTCAGTACACAAAATTACAAAATATGAACAAAAGTTGTCTACTTTCTTAAAAATCACACGGATATTCTGAATTCAGCACCTTATGCATATAAGAATCTATAATACTAAAATAACGAGGTCCAATTTGTTAGCCGGCATGACGCAAAAACGAAGAATCAAAGAATTCAAGTTTATATATAACTAATATAGGATTTTGGTGTTGATTAAAAATTACACCATTCCAGGCCCTTTTGTTTTCCAAATAATTAGTATTATCGATAATTAACAAGTTCCGGGTCAAATCCGATACCGATACCAATAGTATGTGAAACATGTAGTTTCCGGTTGTATGTATGTATGTTCTGTATATTCCTCCTTTATTGGGAGCACTACCAAGGGTTATTATGTAAAGGCGGACATTTAACACACTGTACGTTGCAGATTTAATGTGAGCATTTGCCTACCCAGTTTTCCAGTTGTAGTAAGAAACCAAGGACGGGCCCAAACAGAAAGATTTTGATAACAGAAAATTATACACCTTATAATCAGCATGACTTTATCAGATGACAATACGAATACTTTGACTCCAAACTAAACATAAGGCTATGTACTTTAATTCAGTCATGGACCCGAGATATCGCGGGTGTGTTCTAGTATGTAAAGAAACCTCCCAATGATATCCTCAATCAGTGTATTCTTTCTTGGGAATTCCGGGTGTAAATTATAGTGATATATATGTTAGCATGTCAGGATTCGTCCTGAATCATGAATGACATGACACCAGTGTAAAAATTCTAAGATCTGATATATCATAGATTAAAGTGGCTATTATATCTATGGTTGTTCAATCTGCATCCAGTTTACCTAAATTAATACCTATATATGATGATTTAATCCATTCTATGTTTACAATTGTTTAGCTGTATGTACATGCATTTGATGAGGATTTATATATCAGGTCAACATGGTATTTTTTTTAATTCTTCATTATTTAACATATTTAAGTATATGTTACCAGAAATGGTTTTATATGTCTCTGATGGTACAATTAAGACTTGAAAAAGCTTTTCATACCCATTATATAATTATTTTTCACACCCCATGCCCCTGTTTTATGTTGTGATTTTACATTACAATATATAATTTTATGTCCACTGAAAGATACAAAATTACATAGTATAAATGAAATGCTATTTTCAGTTCTTTTACAGTATATTGTGATTTTACTTTATCATGTTTAGTACATGTTTTCAATATTAAGAGTCATTCTCTGTAAGCGTCAAATTCATGTGGAAATGACATGTCACAGAATTGGTTCAAAATTGTAAAAATGTTCTAACAATTGATATAAACTGAAATATACATGAATTTTCACTTAAAATTTTGCGGTTGCTATGGTAACCGCTTGAACACTTTTTGGTCATTTTTTGTAAGTAAAAAAGGCTTAAAATGTGCAATTACTCTTGGATGTATATGGCTTTTAGAGAATAAAAAAGAAAATTGTGTTTGTTGTTATGACTAAGTATGGTTATGACATATTTAAAAAATGCATTTAGAAAAATATATTATTCAGCAGTTTGGTCAAGAACCTAATCCCAAAAAGGGTCAAATTCCTTGTGTATTGGGAGTCTTATTTTACCAGGTTTTGAAAGCTTTGAGATTTTTCAACCCAGATTTTCCTGATATGGCTAAAATAATGTTTTAATAGTTTAACCATTGCTTAATCAAAATACAAAAATTTGAGAGGGGCATATTTGAAAATTTTGCAAAATTCAATTTTTCGAAATCATGATTTTTCGAAATTACTGTTTTTAATATTGTTTCAAATAGAATACTGAAATTAACACGAATGCTTTATTTGTCTGAAAATACTTAATCCTCCTCTCAGAAAAAAATGAAAGTTCTCAAATTGAATATAACAACTGCTGGATTCTTAAATCTCAATTAAAAGCCCCTTTCAGTACACCAAAATTTGGCGGGAAATGATTCTCTCTAGATTTTTCATGCATTTAACATTGGCACTTTTTTCTTTTAAAAACAATGAAAACATAACAAGGATTTTATAAGATTTTAAAATATAGCTTTTTAAACTATATGTAATATAACTATGAAAAGAAAAGTAGGGGTTAGTGGGCAAAATATTTTAATGGCACTACTTGGATAAAACCAGAGGATTCCGAATATGTGACGAAAAAGTCAAAAATAATAGTAGAGAACATCCTTAGCTGAAGACAGTGAAGTAGATATTTTACAAGCAATTGGAAATGTCTGAATTTTCTGTAATGTTTAACACATTCCCAAAACTTGCTCAAGCAAAATGGAGAAAGGAAAAGGAGGACTCTATGCATGGTATACAGGGCAATTGGTACACACCAAATGTAGACCATTCAAAGAAGAGGTCGGGTCGAGCAGTACCTGTTGTGAACCTGGAGAACAAATAAAATGTTCTAAACGCCTGTGAGAAAGAGACATACTTTTGACACGAAAACAATATGGAATCGTTTAACTGTATGATCTCGGTAAGTAAAAACTATTTTTCCTGAAAATATCGATGTGGGGGTGGGGACGAGGAACTGGACCCTTAACCGAGATCCCCATTATCATTGAAACCTGTAATACAGAACCAAATTTATGAGTTTTTGTATTAACCCTTAGTATATAAATAGTGTCTTATAACCTCGAATTTATGAATATTGAACAGATATATCATGTTATGGAGGGGTATTTCCGAAAAATACCAGTCGAGGGACTGTAAAATTTCCCCAGCCGCTAGGCAAGGGAAATTTGGTCCCAAGACTGGTAATTTTCGCAAATACCCCTCCATAACATGATATATCTGTTTAATTACACCGAATAGATTTTGATTGAAACTCTCTGTACTGGTGAAAGGAAATATTTTTTTTACTAGTGAGATTTTATTCATAAACATAATTTTGAGTAAGTAGAGACTATCATAATATTGCGGGAATTATACATGCACTTATATTCACTCGTGTTAATATGTCTTTTGATTGAGTTAAGCCATTTCAATTGATATTTTATAGTGTGTCTTTCTGTGTTGTGGTGTTACACTATTGTTTCAGATAAGGGTGAAGGTTTGGTACCATTAAAACGTTTGAACCCGCTGCAATTGTTTGCACCTGTTCTAAGTTTGTTGATGTGGTTCATAAGTGTTCCTCGTTTCACGTTTTATTTTATATAGATTAGACCGTTGGTTTTCCCGTATGAATGGTTTTACACTATTAATTTTTGGAGCCCTTTATAGCTTGCTGTTCGGTGTGAGCTAAGGCTCCGTGTTGAATACCGTACTTTGACCTATAACGGTTTACTTTTATAAATTGTGACTTAGATAGTGAGTTGTCTCATTGGCACTCATACCACATCTTCTTATATCTTCTTATACGCGTTAGCGCTGTCTTTATGTAACGTCATATCAGAATAATTTTGGCGGGAAGAGGCTCGCGAGGGTAAAAAAGGAATTTCCAAAATGGCAAATACCACGGCATAGAGGGGAATTTGAGGCAAATACACCGACAGTGGTAAAAAACATGCAAATTCGTTTGAAATGAGAAAAAATGTTAGAATATGCGAAAAAAACAATGGCTACCAACCAATCAAAATACAGCATTCTCATTAACATATAAGGTGTAATTGTATACTGTAAGGGGCACATGTCCGACTAACAGTTTTCATCTGTATTTGAACACAATTTCAAGATTCATTAGACAATGTTAAGTTTTTTTGGTTTGGTCTATTTCTCAGATACATGTACACGTACTATTACCAATAGGGCCACAATATTTAGTGTATGGGATAATTGTCAGGTGTACATGTCCGGTTGGCAGGTTTCATCTGACATCGGACTCATTTTCCTTGTTTATTGGACAATTTTTCTGTTTTTATGTTTTGGTCTATTTTGCAGATATTATAGCAATATATCAATTATATTAAGTGTATGGAACAATTGTGAGGTGTAAATGTCTGTCTGGCAGGGTTCATATGACCTTGACATCAGTTTCATGTTTCATTGGTCAATGATTTTTTTTGTAATTT